TGAAAGGACAAGGCCGAGGCCTGGCACGAGCTTAGGGTTTCCGGGAGCGTTTTTCTCACATCCTCTCAGAATTAAAACAAACCACCGACTGGGCGGGTCACATGAAGTGCGGCCTTTAAAGCCTGCAAAGATTCACGCCTCTCAAGATGGGCTTGTCCAATGAGGAAGTCCGGAATCTCAAGTGGGAGTTCTGAGATACTGGGGCATTTTTTATGGCCCTTTGTTTGAAAGCATGGTAATTTGCATATGAAACTTGTATAATAATTATTAAAGACTCTTAGAACACTACTATGTTGCGTAGGTGTAAACATACAATATACACTCTCAATTAGATCATCCGAATACGAATTCATAGATACTAAACATGGTAGAGTTATATATATGTAAGCTGACAGGAGTGTGTTTCGATTATAAGCCTGCATAACAGTATACAATTTCAAAGACAAAATACACGATGACAATTATATACCCAATGACCTGAAGGATCATGTGTGTTCATTCAAAGAAAGGTTTTCCTATTAATTAATTAGCAAAGAAAAGTCCTTCCCTTGTGGATTTTGCCTATGGTCAAGGAAGCGATTTTCTTCACCTAAATTCCAGGAGGTCGTAAATGTATCGGGTGTCAGGATTACGATGGAACCAGGGGCTTGTTCGACTTCCTGGGGTGTCACAGAGTATTTGTTAAATCTAGCTAACAAAATATATATTGTGTGTTTGAGTGGTCCAGACGCTACATATGTATATTATATTTATTCATTAAAATATACGTATTTATTTGTATAGGGATCCACGGAGAACCAGGTATTAAGAGATCAAAAGTGAGTATTTTCAACGTGCTGATAATCCCTACAATAAAGAGCAGTATATGGTCTTTCATATTGATGGAAAAATGTTTTTTTTTTTTTTTTTTAACAGGTGGCCTCTGCTGATGAAGTTGTGAAAACCATAATAAGTCACATGACCGATTCCTCGAACAAATCACATCTGTCCTTGAAATCAGGTAAGATGTGTAAATGGTCAGCACAGGGTTGATTCTGAAGGTTGTTGAGTGCGTTTACATGAATGTGTATTTAAACCTCTATTTCTCTTAACAGGAGACAAGGTGGTGCTGTGTGTGAATAATCTTGGTGCACTCTCATGTTTGGAAATAGCTGTGGTTTCTAAAGTGGCCATACACTGCCTAGGTGAGACTCGAGTAGCACAAAACATTATAATATACACTATATATTAGATGTATAACATTCAGCTTTTAGACAATTTTTTTTACATAAATAGATTATTCAAATAATCTTGTTATATCCTAATATTTGAATTTCACTATACTGTTAAGGATTTTTAATGAAAGAGTTTTGGAAACTGTTTTTATAAAATGAGATGTCCTTAACAGACATTGACTGTGTCTGATTCGATGGTTGTCATTTTCAGAGGAGCGTGGTGTGCTGGTTGTCAGGGTGATGTCGGGGTCATTTATGACATCACTGGAGATGGGGGGAATGTCTCTTTCTTTAATGAAGGTCGATGAAGAGATGCTCAGACTGTTTGGTGTGTTCTGTTTATAAACCAATTTTACAAGCATATTTACCTGGATGAGATTGCAATCATTTGTTTATTCTCAAAAAGAGAGTAATTATGACAGCTATAGCTAATAAATTATACCAAATTAAACACATGGATAATGTTTCCCTGCAAAAAATTGCTCAATTGCCAGTATACTCTGAAATGAAAATGTAGTGAATAAATATATATATATATACATACAGTATATGCAAAAATAGTAAAGTATTTCTGATTTGTGTTTCTCAGATGCTAAAACCACAGCCCCGGCCTGGCCTAACCTCAGCACAGCCTCTGTGAGTGGGAGGAACATGTTCATGAAACCTGAAGAAAAACCTGCCGCAGCTTCAGATAATTATAATGAAGGTAGGGAAGAGACAGAGAGACAAATTTCAGCAATATATGCCTCAGTTTATTTGCATTTCATTTAATGTAGTTCAGATTTAAATATATATTTAAACCTTATTATTTCATTAGTAATATAAATATAATATTTGTGATGAAAATTAACATGGTTACATATTTTTTGACATCATATCCTGTTTAAAAGTTTGTGGTCCATAAAAATTTTAAATGTTTTTGGATCTCTTTTGCTCACCATGACTGCATTTATTTGATCAAAAATGCAGTGGAAACACTACTATTGTGAAAAATTATTACAATCTGTTTTGTATTTTAATTGATTAATTAGGATTCTTTGATGAATAGAAAGCTCAAAAACAGCATTTATGTGAAATATAAATATTTTATAACATTATAGTATATGTCTTTATGGTCACTGTGATCAATTTAATGCTTCCTTGTCAAATAAATGTAATAATTTCTTTTTTTTAAATCTTACTGAACTCAAACTTTTGAACAGTAGTGTATATTTTTACCAAAATACCTGAAGCGCTTCATCAACACAGTGGTGCTGATCCACAGGTTCACTGTCTTCAGTCATCCGACTGGTGTTGGAGTCCGTGTGCAAGATCCTCCTGGAGCACCAAGAGGAACTCAACGCTTTGGACCGTGCAGCAGGAGATGGAGATTGTGGGAGCACACATGCTCTCGTAGCTAATGGTAAAACATTTTCATTTAAACCAACATATTGATTCACAATCATGTAAACCAACATGTTGGGTAATTTTGTGTTAATGTATTATGCTTTTTAAATGATTGTTTTACTTGACCTCTAAATGTTGTCTACTTTAGCCATTCAGGAGTGGCTCCACACTAGCAGAATCCCTGGGAACTTTGGCCAGCTTCTAGCAGAGCTTGCTCTGTTAGTTCAGCAAAGCATGGGAGGATCATCAGGGGCGGTATGTGAATGTACATCAGGTTCAAACACTTGACTTACTAAACCAGTGCTTGAGCTGATTAATTACTCTATTAAAAAAAATCTGGAAACGTAATTGTCTTTCTCATGAAGTTATCAAAGTACGCTTGATCTTTTTCTCCCCAGTTATACTGCCTCTTTTTGTCTGCGGCTGCCCCTCATCTCAAGCAAAACTGTGATGGTGCAGCCTGGGCAAAGGCATTGCATGCTGGGACAGAAGCCATGAAGAGGTCAGTGACACAAGTGTTAGCTGAACACTTTCAGTCTGAATTGTTTTCCTTTATACTAGAATGTAACTGTAAACTTAACGATGTGTACAAAGTATAAAGATTTTATTGCAAATATAAATATTTCCTTGTTTTCCAACAGATATGGAGGTGCTGAACCAGGGGACCGGACCATGGTATGATTGGAACACGAATTAAGAGTCATATTTTAGTTGTAGTAATTGTTGTACACAATTTAAATAGTAAATGTAGATTAGGTAACATATGCATGAATTCAAGAATTACGTTATCGTTTAAAAGTCTGTTATTTTTACAGTAAAAACTCATTTTATTTTTTTTTGCAATTTAAAATCACTATTTTCTATTTGAATATATTTTTCAGCATCATTACTCCAGTTTTCAGTGTCATATGATCCTTCAGAAATCATTACAATAGGCTGATATGGTGCTTAAGGAACTTTTATTTTTATTTTGGTAATGCTGAAAACAGTTGTGCTGCTTAATATTTTTTGTGAAATCAGTGTTTTTTAAGGATTCTTTGATGAATATAAAGTTCAAAAGAACAGATCAATTCATTTGAATTAGTTTTTTTAAACAAAGTAAAAGTCTTTACTGTCATATTTAATTAATTTAATGAGTCCTTGCTGAATAAAATAAAATTAATCTCTTAAAAAAATCATACTGACCCCAGACCTTTGAACAGTAGTGTAGATCCCTGTTTACATTTCAGAATATATTGTACATTTAATAGTCATAAGTTTATTGGGTAAATGTGTATTACAGTATTGATCAACACTACTGTTTATATATCTATGAATATCAATAATTGATCCCTGACACAAATAAAATCTACTTGAGCAGTGGTTTTGAAATAAAGTCTTATCCTATAGGACCTTCATTAAATCAAGTCATTGATAGTTCTACAAATCAGTGATGAAACTGACCCTGCGTGTTATCTTTTAGCTTGATGCCCTGTGCCCTGCTGTGGAAGAGTTGATGAAACTTTCCACGGCGGTGCCTCCTGATGGTCACATAGCTATACTACAATCAGCAGTGGAGGTATGGACTACCACTTTAACCATTTTTTGCTTTCCTGTTTTCTCATAATTTCTTGCATCTATAATATTAGTCTCTTGCTTATCTGTAACAGAAAGCCGATTTGGGAGCGGAAGCAACCCGCAATCTCACTGCAAGGGCTGGACGTGCCAGTTACGTTGCGTCTGAACATTTGACCCAGCCTGACCCTGGTGCCATAGCGGTTGCTGCCATTCTGAAGGCTATACTCAATGCTTTGAAGGCCTAGAGATAGAGAAGCTCACCAACAGTTTCTTAAGGAACAGTAATGCAAAAGGCTGTAAACAAAACACGAGTTTGCTAACATTTGATTATAGCAGCTCTTAAAAAATTATGTGTGGAAATTTAAAATACATTCTCCGATCCCTGTTAAATGTGATTTTTAGTAGGTTGACATCCTTTAAAAGTGTGTAAAAACTGTTGCTCGACACTCAACTATGTTTGGCCCACATAGAAGCAATGGCTCAATCAATTGAGTGAGTTTGGTCCAAGAAACCTTTTTAAAACAGTCATCATTTTTGCACTGCAATTTGTTGCCACTAACGGAGTTAACACTTTTTTAGCTTTAATGCTGGAAATACTGAATAATTAATCAATGCACTGCCATTAATGAAACAATGAAAATACTAAGACCAAATAATGTTAAAATGAGATAGCTTTGTGGCTGAATTGTTTTTGTTTACTATTGTAAACAATTACGGTCATTTAATATAAAAAGAACATAAAAACTTTTTTTAACATAAAAAGTTCTAGTATCCTTCAACATAAAGTAACCTTAGTCTACTAAAGTTACATAAATCTTAGTACAATTGCATTGTAGCATGTGCAATCCATGTAATTTGTTTATTAATATAAATAAGGTATGAATGGAAAAAAAGCATTAATAAAAGTCCAAAAAATTTTTAACACTAGTAAACATGTTTTAACATGCAATTTTAAATGCAAATTTAAAGTTGTAAAATGAATAAATGTGATTAATAAAACCTGTTAAAAAAAAACATTTGTCATTTTAATCTGTGGTGACATATAATGAATAATCAGACGTTAAAGGCATAGTTCCCTTAATAATTAAAAATCGGTCATTATTTATGACTTACTTTCTTATGCAGAGCACAACATTTTGAAGAATGTTGGTAACCAAACAGTTTTTGTTTCCATTGACTTCCATTGTGTGGACAAAACACCCTGAGACAGTTCTCAAAATATTTAAATTTCATTTTTGGGTGAGCTATCCTTTTAATATGATGATGACACATACAGGTGCATCTCAATAAATTAGAATGTCGTGGAAAAGTTCATTTATTTTAGTAATTTAACTCAAATTGTGAAACTTGTGTATTAAATAAATTCAATGCAGACAGACTGAAGTAGTTTAAGTCTTTGGTTCTTTTAATTGTGATGATTTTGGCTCACATTTAACAAAAACCCACCAATTCACTATTTCAACAAATTAGAATACTTCATAAAACCAATAAAAAAACATTTTTAGTGAATTGTTGGCCGCCTGGAAAGTATGTTCATTTACTGTACATGCACTCAATACTTGGTAGGGGCTTCTTTTGCTTTAATTACTGCATCCTTTTCCACGACATTCTAATTTATTGAGATGCACCTGTATATGGTAGTATGTTTTTCCTGCATATTAAGGGTTACGTGCTCATAAACCCCCATCCGCATGTTCATACATGTCTACACAAGAAACTTGACAATCCAGTTTTGAACCTAGGGTAATATTTATTGTGATGAAGTTAGTGTGATGACTATTTTTATTACACTTGGTGTGAAAGCAAGTCGTGCACCCACAGTTTCCTGACTTCCTGTATCATCAAGCACACAGTCCAACATACACAGTAGGTGAGTGAAGAGCAGGACCATAATGTTACTGGCTTTCTACGCAAGCTAAATGTCAGACACTTTCTTTTGAACTACCCTAGGTACATTTCAAACGTTGTAGAGTTTATCAGAGATGGATAACTTCAGCTGTTTCTATTATACTGTATGTCACCATGTATTTTGCATCAGTAAAGTAAATAATTATTTTCAATCCTTCACTCATTTTTTTTGCTTGTAGTTTCACTGAATGAGTCATACTGAAGTGATATTATTTTATACATCTTATATAAATTGTAACACCAGGGTGTGTTGGCTCTTGTTTTTTTTGCAAACTTTGCTAGAAAAGAAAAGAACAGAGAAGAAAAGATAAAACGGCATTGATTGATGATGGTTTAGGCATATGCTAGCTTTGCTGTAATGATTAATCACTTCATTTTCTAGATTAAAATCATTTTACAAGGAAATCAAACTGTGCCACAGTCAGTGCTTACCGCAGGTGTAACTGCCTTCAGCAACTCAAGATCAAAGTAAAAGAAAACCATTTTAGCAGGAAATGAAAGTCTTAAAAAAAAAAAAAAAAAAAGTCTTACCTAAAATGCACAGAAAAACACAGTATTATCTAGCGTTTTCTGTGTACACAACACAACCAGGAAAGAGTGAAGAGATACATGCTGAAGTTGTTATTTTAAAGTGCCTGGGTGTTACAGGTTCTAGTTTAATTAGACTGTAAAGAATAGAACTTGATGCAAGTATAATTTCTGACTTGTTTTTTCACCCACAGAGATGGAGTTTGCTTGCAGTCATGTTGTGTGTAACTGGAGGTCTGAGAGCTTATCAGAAGATGAAGCTAAAGTCTCAAATCAAGGTCAGTTGTATGCTGTAAATGCATAAATGAGAATGGAGAACTGCTGTCTGTTAATATTTAATATTACAGCACACATAATACTGATGAGACATGTAAAGAGACAGAATTACAGAATGAAGAATAATACGTATTAAGGGAAAGCTCAGCAACAACATTTTGAGACAACAGTCCAGTTACACATGCCTGGTTTCTCTAGCTATGTCGGATTCAATGTCAGCTTGGGGCAGTTTTTATTTTTTGTACATTGATAATTGTTTTACTGTTTAAAATTGATACTGATAAAAATTTCACTGAAACAACATTAAATAGTGTCTAATAGGTAGGTTCCCATTGTGACAACTAGGCCCATGTTGTGTATTGGGGTATTTTTATATAATTTGGCACAAATAGTCGGTGTGTAACTCCATCTATCGCTCATGACTGCTTGTGTTTTGTAGGTTGTGCCTCCACTCTTCCCTGTGGTCTGTCCAGAGCTCAGTCTGTCTCCGATCATCCTTACGACAACCGCGTTACCTTTGTTCAGAAACCAGGTGAGTACTTGACACCTTGTTTTTCACCTTACCTTTATGAACGTTCTTCCAAATGTGTGAAGTAGCTTGGATGCTCTCTTTACATGTGAAGAAAAATAGTGGGCAAAAATGGAAAGTGAAGGATAGGGACTGTTGAACACTAAGAAGGATTGTGTCCAAACAACACAGAACTATTACAGCAAATTTCATTTTCACTTTGAACACCATGTTATCAAACTAACCACAGAGAACTTCAAAAAGCCAACATTCATGAAAGAGCTGCAACTGCTACAACTTAAATCACAGACACCAATGCTAAAATGCTAAAAAGGTAAGACTCCTCTGACGTTGTCTGTGGTTCAGGAGTGGCTTAACAAGAGGAATACGACAACTGTAGCCAAATTCCTTGACACGTCTGTGTGTGGTGGCTCTTGATGCCTTGACCCCAGCCTCAGTCCATTCCTTGTGAAGTTCACTCAAATTCTTGAATCGATTTTGCTTGACAGTCCTCATAAAGCTGCGGTTCTCTCGGTTGGTTGTGCAAATTTTTCTTCCACACTTTTTCCTTCCACTCAACTTTCTGTTAACATGCTTGGATACAGCACTCTGTGAACAGCCAGCTTCTTTGGCAATGAATGTTTGTGGCTTACCCTCCTTGTAAAGGGTGTCAATGATTGTTTTCTGGACAACTGTCAGATCAGTCTTCCCCATGATTGTGTAGCCTAGTGAACCAAACTGAGAGACCATTTTGAAGGCTCAGGAAACCTTTGCAGGTGTTTTGAGTTGATTAGCTGATTGGCATGTCACCATATTCTGATTTGTTGAGATAGTGGATTGGTGGATTTTTGTTAAATGTGAGCCAAAATCATCACAATTAAAAGAACCAAAGACTTAAACTACTTCAGTCTGTGTGCATTGCATTTATTTAATACACGAGTTTCACAATTTGAGTTGAATTACTGAAATAAATGAACTTTTCCACAACATTCTAATTTATTGAGATGCACCTGTATATAATTGACCATGCAGTGCATTTTTGTGTTTACAATGGGGCAATTGCTTCACAATAGCTTGCACACAGCACAAGCCTGATTTTGTGAGCTGTATGTGAGGCGGCCTTATGTTTGAGATCGGCCTTTATAGAGACCGACAATCAAATTTCCCAAAGCGATTATCGGCTGATAGCACCAGCCGATAATCGGAGCACCCCTACTAAGAAGGCTGGAACACTTAATAATGTATTAAGACAGTGGTATTAAAAGATCAAATTTGATATACAGCTTATATGGTACTAAATTAGTTTTAATTGTTTAACCACCACAGCTTCTTGTCTCCATTGGCAACACGGACGATTTGTGCGGATTGCAAGTGACGTTGCAGGTGGCGATTGCAAATGACATTGTGTTTTTTAAAAAAAAAATTCTTGTCTTCACCACCTGGCTACTTTTGTAAAATGTTGAGAGATTCAATAAAAAAAAAATAAAAAAGATTGACGTCACTTGTGGAAGTGCAGGTGTCTGAGAGTGCAAGTGCATGTCTGCAGCCAGACCTTTCTCACAGATGTTGATCTTCTTCTGCAGAGGCGGTGTTTAGCCACACTATTACATCATCATTCCACAACCTGATGTTTTGGCAGATTGGCTTCAATATAAGCTGTTTTTAGACTAACAAGAAAGTTTTGAGTTGTGAAAATTACAGGACGTTTTTATAGTACAATGACCTCTTATATGTAAAAAATATCAAAGGAATTTAGATTTCTCAGTTCATGACCCATTTAAAGGCAAATGATGGTTAAACACCTTAATAAAGGAATATTTCCTAGGCGTTCACATTATTTTGTCCTACCACTTATATAAGCATCTTATGCTCACAAAGGCTAGATTTATTTGATATATATTTTTAACATAATAAAAACAATACTATTGTGAAATACTATTTCAGTTTAGAATAATTGTTTTCTATTTTAGTGTATTTTTAAATGTAATTTATTTCTGTTATGGCAATGCAAAATTTTTAACAACAATTACTCCAGTCTTAAGTGTCACATGGTCCTTCAGAAATCATTCTTGTATGCTGATTTGTTGCTCAAGAGTCTTTTCTTATTATTTTCAATGTATCCTTGCTGAATAGAAGTTTTACTTTTCTTTTAAAAAAATCATTTTTATTCGTATAAGAAATTATATGTAATAATTTTTTTAATTTATTTCATTTTATTTTTTACAGCTCCATCAATGGCTCCACCACCTGTACCGCCCCGTAACATACAAAGGAGAGACACTCTGTTTAGCGCTCTCCCACCCCCATTACCGCCGAGAGGTGAGAAGACATTCACACTCCCTTCATAACATGAACAAGCACAGGAAATATTCAGTTATGCAAAAACTTAATCGATACACTAAAACCACTCTGATGTTTTACAATAAACAGGTTCGAGTTGTTTTATTTGATTTTGTGAGCTGAATTACACAACAAACTCTGTGTTCCAACCTTTATATATTATTTTCCTTCACTCTCTCTCTCAGGTCTGGAGAATAATGGAGAGACTCACCTTAAAGCTAATGTAAATGTGGTGTCGCTAAAAGTGGGAAGCCTCGTGGACATTAGTAAAGGTGTGCTAAACTGCTAAACAATCTTTTTTGAAAGCATAAATATCTTAACTGTTCCATTTGTTTAGCTCACTTACTGTCTCTTTAGCATCTTCCATAAAGTGCAGCCAAAAACCAGTGTGTTGTGGGAAATGCAATGCTGTCATGTCCTCAGCAAGCAGCCCAGTGACACACCAAAAAACAATAGTAAGTTATACCAACAGGTGCCAAACCATCTGATATTTGTGTTTATATGACATTGACTTATTTTCAAAGTGATTCCTGTCCCTTTTTTGTAGATATGGAGCTGTGAGTTTTGTGGGAAGAAGAACGTTTACCCCCAGACTACACTGAAGGGAGGCCGGTTTCCTTTGCGCAATCCTCCAGGCAGGGATATACTTTATGTGGACGACGATGAGGACACAGAGTATGAGAATCTCGATGACATGCTTATTGTCCTGTGTGTGGACATTTCCGGAAGTATGAGCGTCACTTCTGAGGTGCCAATCACTTTCATTACAGACGAATAACAGAGCTGTCATTATGTTCTCAACACCCTCACTTAATGTTCACATTAAATATATTTTCCTCTCAGATCTCTCCCGGTAACAGCATGCGATCGCCCACATATGTTTCACGACTGCAGGTAAAAAAAAAAAAAAAGAAATAAAAAATTTTTTGCTTATGTAAACAGGCACAATAAATGTGAAGTTACTCCCATTTTTTGGGTTCAGGGAGTCCAAGAAGCTCTTCAGACTTATTATAATCAGGATCTGTGTGCTTTGACGCAACGTGTCGCACTTGGTGTAGTAGTGTTAGTTAGGGTAAGCCGCTAGTTTACACCAGTACTACCGCTTCTAAACTATAATTTCCATAGCTTTCTGTTGCGCATCTGCCAGACTTCCAGTGAAAACAATAGCAAACATTTAGACACGTTAAAGCATAGTATGCTTTTTTTCTTGTTTAGAAAAATTAATATGAATGCTTTTTGTTTGCTGTTTGGCTGTGGTTGGTTTGAATGCCACATTTCAAGAGTTTATTCAACGCTCATAAATATAGCCTAATTTTTGTTCACGTGGCTTTTTTTGCTCCTTGGGAAACTAATGATAATGGTATTTCAAGTCCAGTCAAATCAAATATGTCATGTGGCATTCAATGACATTTTTTTTATTTATTTTTGTGCTACTGTGGGCTGTTATATATGGGTTAAAATACATGCTTTTAAAATAGGTTAATATTGCGAATAAAATATAGCCTATAATATACACTACCATTCAAAAAAAAAAAAAAAAAAGTAATAAAAATTTTTTTGCTTATGTAAACAGGCACAATAAATGTGAAGTTACTCCCATTTTTTGGGTTCAGGGAGTCCAAGAAGCTCTTCATATGGTGCTGTCCTCCCTGCAGAAAACCTCATCTCACCGAAGAGTGGCACTGGTGACATTTAACAATGAGGTAAAGAAACTTATGGGAAACACAAACCGTTTATTATTCTCAGTTCTGATCACAAACATTTTCTCAGTTTTTTTCTGTACACTTGTTTGCAAAAACTGCCACACTATTATTTGAAGTTTTTGCAATGACGTATAATTATTGTGGTGTAATATTACAGGGATTTTTAAACTGGGGTCTGGGGAAAAATATTTTGTATTTTTATATATTATGTAAAATATATAATATATATATATTATTATATATAATGGAATTGTTAGGTGTAATTTTACTTGAAATATATTTATTGTGAAAAGCACTATACATTCATATTAGAATTTATTTTTCAAATGTTTCAAGTTTATACTGTACAACATTATTCTAATGTTAGGTAGAAAAAAAGATAAACTTAATACAAAAAATTTGAATATTTGCTTTGCCTTCTGTGCAATTTCAATATAAAGGCCAGTTATTTATTTCAGCCAACATGTTCTCTTTATAATATGATGCTTATTCTTATTTGTTATAAATGGATTGCTACATGAAAAATATAGAGCTGCTTTTGTATTATATGTAGGGGATCGTTACATTTAAGGGTCCTTAGCTTCAGAAAGTTTGAAAGCATGTGGTATAATATATTTTGGATAGATTAGTGGCTAAACAACACCAAAAACTGTGGCTGGTCATTTTACATGTCAGTCACATGGTCTCTTCCTATCTAAGTGGGCTATTTTTTTGTCAGAATAAGCAGCCCTGTGACCCAGAGTTTATGCTGGTAGATATTGGCAACACGGGACCAGGTTGAATCTACCCTGTAAAACTACATACTTCTGAAGCCAAAACTCAACAGACCTATAAAACTTACTGAGATGTCAAGCTGTGATGACTGAGCATTTCTCATTCTTGGTTTTGACAAGCTTGTGGCTACTCGTTTGTGGAAACCTGAATTCACTGTGAAGGAACTAAGAAGCATGTAAAACTACTAAGATTAGCCATTGAAAAGTCATTTTAGAGAACTAGATACAGAGATAAAGAATAGGACCAGCATAGCTCACATAGTGCTTTATTTTACTGTCACGTGGATATATCACGGTTTAGAGAAGCATGAATGTGTGTGGTTTTCAGGTGACAGTATATGGTGATGGTACAAAGGTTCCTCTCACTCTGAGAGACTGGGCACTGGTGGACTATGACTATCTGAAGAAGGAGGGCGAGAACTACAGCACCCCTCACTGCATTGCAGAGACTATCCAACCTCTCACCCAGAAAATCAAAGAGTGAGTGGCACATTCTCAAGCTGTTATTGTATGTACAGTGCGTGTAGAAAAGAATCACCCTTTAAAATAATCACATTTTGTTGCTTTGTAGCCTGAAATGAAGATGGACACAGTTTTTGTTTTATCCAGCTGTATTTACTCAGTGCAACTTATAACATCTTATAGTGAAAGAAATAACACCAACATGTCAGGGGAAATAAAAACAAACCCAATCACCGAGTAGGAAAAATGATCACTCCCTCCTAAAAATGACTTGTAAACTCAATCAGGTGTAGCTAATCACCTTCTCAATGGCACACAATGTTATTTGACTTTCAACTGTGATAAGCTGTGGTGATTTTGATTAGCTCAGCATTAAAAGAGCTTTTACTGTAACATTTCAGTCGTTGGTAGTGCAACTGAAGCAAACAATCAACTATGGGTGGCAAGAAACTGTCAAAAGATCTCCTGATAAAGTTGTGGACAGGCACAAGTCAGGAGATGGATACAAAAAAATTAAAAGGCTTTATCAATGCCTAGAAACACAGTGAAGTCTATTATTAAGAAGTGGAAGGTATTTGGTATGACACAGACCCTCCCTGGATAAGGACATCGCTCCACTGGATGAAAGAACCGGGAGGAAACTGCTGAGGGAGGCCTACAGCAACTCTGAAGCAGCTGCAGGAATTTATGACAAAGAGTGGTCATTGTGTGCATGTGACAACAATATCACAAATTCTCCACAAATGTGGCTTGTATGGGAGAGTTGCAAGAAAAAAGCCAAGAAAGGCCACATGCAGTCACGGCTGTGCTTTGCCAAAACACACCTTGAAGATTCTGAGGCAGATCAGACTAAAATTTTATTATTAGACTGGAGCACTTGTCAGGATAGAAGGAAAAATGGATGGGGAAAAATACCATCAAATTATTGAGGAAAATCTGCTGTCCTCTGCCAGAAAGTTGTCAATGGGAAGAAGGTTTACCTTCCAACATGACAATGACCCAAAGCACACAGCAAAACTGAGCACACAGTGCTTGAAGGAGAAAAAGGTGAATGTCCTTGCATGGCCTAGTCAGAGCCCAGACTTAAACCCCATTGAAAATCTGTGGAATGATTTGAAGACTGCAGTCCACAAACGCTCATCATCCAATTTAACTGAACTTGAGCAGTTCTGCAAAGCAGAGTGAGCAAATACTGCAAAGTCTAGATGTGCAGCCTTTTAGTAGAGACAGAATCCCAACAGACTAACGGCTGTAATTAAAGCAAAAGGTGGTTCAACTAAATACTGACGGGGGTGAAGCTTTTTCCAACTCAGTGATTGTTTTTTTTGATTGTTTTGTTTTTTTTCTGACATGTTGGTGTTATTTCTTTCACTAGGATGTTATAAGTTGCACTGAGTAAATACAGCTGGATAAAACATAAACTGTGTCCGTTCTCATTTCAGGCTGCAAAGCAACAAAATGTGATTATTTTAAAGGGGTGATTCTTTTCTATACCCACTGTATATTTGTATATTTGTCAGTGTGTGTGTGTGTGTGTGTGTGTGTGTGTGTGTGTGTGTGTGTGTGTGTGTGTGTGTGTGTGTGTGTGTGTGTGTGTGTGTGTGTGTGCGTGCGTGTGCATGCGTGCGTGTGTGAGCACTGAACATGTTTCTGCTGGTCTGTCTATTTTTATTTTATTTTTTATTTTTTGTAAACTGTAGAAAAAAACACTAGAGTTTTGCGTATGACTACATTTAACAGTGTTGGTAAATATTAAATGTTTTGCTGATCCTAATGTTTCATGAAAATGCTTCAGTATTTTATTTCTGTTTTTATGTTAGTAATTTGATTTGTCTGTCTCAACTTTAACTTTATTAATTAGGGTTTCTTCTTCTCTGCAGACTCCGAGAACATGGAGCCACAGCACTGGGACCTGCTGCCCTCATCTCTGTTGCCATGGCATCTCAGTTCACAGGGTCAAAAGTCTGTACCCGTTATTACATGTTCTGAAAACTATACCTATGTTATTATGATAAATGTGTGCTGTAATGATAAAACCACTATTCACTGATTTAAGCCATAGTCTAGAAGAGGACAGGCAGTGCTGCTTTAGCTACTGATGCTATGCATTTACTGTACATTATTATATGTATGTGTCTGTGTGATTTTTTATTTTTTTTCCCCAGGTTATCATTTGCACAGATGGGCAGGCCAACATAGGCCTAGGCCAATTAGATCACAAGTTTTCCCATTGCCCCGCCCCCTCGCCTTATTTTTACAATCAGTTAGCCCATTATGCTGCTGAAAAGGGGTGAGAGACTGCAAAGCACAAATCTCTTTCTGAATATTATATTAGTTTTAACCAGTGTTGGGTGTAATGCATTACTAGGTAATTAATTACTGTAATTTAATTAGGGGAGACCTAGGGCAATTGTAAAAAATTTTACATTTTCCTTCATAACTCACAGACTATTTGAAATACACAAGTCATCTTTTGATACAAGAAACAAATATAGGTGCGCTAATTAATAATACAGTTAATATATTTTCACTAATAAGGACAAGACTATAATATTCAATTAAATGCAAGAAGTCAGAGTGTTACAATTGCCCCCTTGTATTAACCCACTGTATCTCAAATAAAAGCCTACCTCAGTGTAATCGCTTTACTGCAGTAGTATCTAATAATGTTACTTAAGATTTATTTATTTTATCTATTTTTGTATATGGTTCAAATTCTTTTAGATGTCAGGCATCATATGCATTCAAAAAGCAAGTCTATTTCTATTTTTGCAGAAGACTAGGCAACTATTCTAGTGGTAACTAGATTTTAATTATTTAAATATATTTTAATATATTTATTTTTTATAGTTATTTTAATATAACTCAATGAGATCATGTGGAGATAATATTCCATTTGTTTTTTAAAGATTTAAAAGCAACACATTGTTTAATGTGTAACATCAACTATTCTAGTGGTAACTAGATTTTAATTATTTAAATATATTTAAATATATTTATTTTTTATAGTTATTTTAATATAACTCAATGAGATCATGTGGAGATAATATTCAATTTGTTTTTTAAAGATTTAAAAGCAACACATTGTTTAATGTGTAACATTAATCATTTTTAAATGTAGTTTTACATTTAAATATGTTAATTTTCTAACAGAAAAGTATCTCAATACAGACAAACAAGGTGCTGGGCCATGTGGCTTGGGGGCAGTTGTAACACAATGTTACAATTGCTCCCAAAGTTGCAGCCATGATAAAATCTTGTATGATAGCTAGCCATGCTTATATTATTATAAGTTGTTCATGTTAATTTTTTCATCAATAACCTAGAGATAAAATGTATGTAAGTTTAAATTCGCAGTCATCTAAACTTTAGACAGCAGAAGAAAAATACTGTACATCCAAAAAGTAACTTTCATACCTCAAAATCAGTATTCAGTTCATTTTTGCTGAGATTAAATGACTATTCTCCATTTTCACAGGCAGAGAGAGAATCCTACTGAGCATGTGCAGATTAGGTGTCATTACTCTAGCTTGTTTCTCATTGGAGGAATTGTAACCTTCTCACTTTAAATACTTTGGTCAGTTCAAGAATAATTTACGCAATTTTATATTATTTATGTGAAAGAATTAAAAGAGCAGTTTCATGTCTATCCTTGGTTGAGGTAGATATTGAATTTAGAAAGTAACAAGTAATGCAATATTTGTAGGGAGAGTAATTAGTACAGTATTCTAATTACACTGTTGAAGATGACTTTTTGCTAATTACTTTTTTAGTGTAGTTTACCCAACACTGGTTTTAATGAACAACGATGAATGTAGTCCAGTGTACCTAATGAAATCATGTCAAGTGTTATTATGGTCAATAAGTCATAGATTTCTGTTTATAGTGTGATAGTGTCCGTGATGACCTTTGAAGGAGAGGACTGTCGTTTGGCAGAGGTTGGGAGATTGGCTGATCACACAGGAGGCAGAGTGAGTTACTGCGACTGCTCATCTGCAGTCTGCCTTTTTTATTGGTTAGCAGTCTGGGTCATGTTGCTGGTATCAGATAAGATGGTAAAGACTGACTGTTTTAGAGAAACCTAGAGGTACATGATTGCAGCAACAATCTATTTCTTCTGAGGGTGTTGTCTTTCACTAATCTGGTTACATCTCACACACTTGTAGCTCATTGTAAACAATGTGAGAAATGCTCACATTTTCTGTATGACCCCTTTGCTCTACATTTTCTGCTAACAGCAGCTGTCTGTCACTACATCTGTTGCATCGCAGACTTCTAACACATCCTGAACCTTGTCTGTAAAACCCCTCTGTAGAAGCTCAATCTGTTTTTAATGGGTTTAAAGGGGTCATATGATGTGATTTTCAAGTTTTCCTTTCTCTTTGGAGTGTTACAAGCTCTTGGTGCCTAAAGAAGATCTGTAAAGTTGCAAAGACTAAAGTCTCAAATCCAAAGAGATATTCTTTATAAAAGTTAAGAGTCAACCACGCCTACCTAAAACAGCTTGTTCTAACACGCCCCCACATATCTACGTCACTATGTGGAAATATTAGCATAATGCCGCCCAAATGTGCACGCAAAGAAAGAAGGCGTGGTTTCAGGAACAGCAGTCGTGTTGATGCAGCCATGTCAGGGAGACGCTGTGTTTCAGTGCGAATGCAAAAGCACTTTATTTGGCCTTCTGGAAGTAGATGCAATTAGGAATCATTGGTTAAGATTTATTTACAACAGAACAGCACAACCCAGATGTTCGAATTTGTGCAACGCATTTTATGTACGACAGTTTTTTTTAACCTAGAAGAGGTCAAGACTGGCTGTGCACAAAGGCTATTTCAAAAACTACACCCAATACACAAAATAATGATCTTTAAAATAGCATCATATGACCCCTTTAAGACATGTAGCTTGAAGCCTATTTCAGAGAAACCGATACTTATCACCAATGACACCCACACATACAAGGAAGAATGATTTTGTGTTCAGTATTTCCCCTTCTGCCGTATTTGATTTTTTTGCTTTGAAACAATAATAATAGGAAACTGGTACATTTGCAAGACATCAATAACTTTAGTATCATGCATATTGTGTATCACAAGTTTATTAGTTTGTACCGAGCTTGATTAATAAGCACTACCGTTCAAACATTTGGGGTCAGTAAGGTTTTTTTCTTTATTTTTAAATTAATAATTTTATTTAGCAGTGATGCATTAAATTCATCAAAGAGACCGTAAAGACATTTGTAATCTTACAAAGGATTTTTACCTAAATTCTGTTCATTTGAACTTTCTATTTATCAAAGAACATGAAAAACAAAATCATCACAGGTTCCACAAATATTTTAAGCAGTTGATGATAAGAAATATTTCTAGAGCAGCAATTCAGCATATTAGAATGATTTCTGAAGCATTATGTGACTCTGAAGACTGGAGTAATGATGCAGAAAATTCAGCTTTGCCAACACAGGAATACATTTTAAAATATATTAAAATAGAAAACAGATGTTTTAAGTTGTAATAATATTTTACAATACTACTGTTTTTACTGTATTTTTGATCAAATATATGCAGCTTTGGTGAGCATAAGAGACTTCATTCAAAAACACAAAAATCTTACTACAACTTTTGAAAGGTAATGTTTCTCTTTGAAAGGAGAGCTGCAATATTACAAACAAGCCAAGATCTTAAATGCTAAAAAACAAATTATGTATTTTTTCATCCACTTTCCAGATAAATATTGTTAATATTGGTACAGTTGCCACTGAGATCCAGAGCGCTGTAGCTGACAATGTCCTAGCAACTAGTGTCATGGCAACACTGCTGGCACCAGATGGCATGCAAGTATCCATTAATAACATTCACACACACAAACACATGTAAATACATGCAAACACACATATGCACTATACACTATATACACATTTCATAATGTCTCTATTTTTCTCGGTCTTCTCTGACTGATGCAGGTACTTCCCATATGAGGAGGATAATCATCGGTTAGTACGAGAGATTGGCAACGTAACAGATGGTGTTGAGATCACCTTCCAGTTTGCAGTCAGACCAGAAAAAGTTGAAAGTAAGCACAAAATATACAGTGCAATCAAAAGAAAATGAAGCATTAGAGAAAAGATGGAACAGTTTTTTTCATACTCACCCTCATGTTGTTCCAAATCTGTTTTTTTTTTTTTTTTTTTTTTTTTTTGTATGGAACACAAAATGTAGAACTTTTTGTGTATCTTTAAATGTGTTTTCAGGTTTCCAACAACGGGACCGTGTCCCTTTTCAGCTGCAGCTGAGTTTCAAGACTCGAGATTTGCAGAAAGTGACGAGAGTCATCACTCAACAGAAACGAGTCACCATCAGCAGGCAAACCACTCAAAATACTACACAATAACAGCAAACACCCTCCAGATCTACAGCTCATGACAACATATATATATATATATATATATATACATATATATATATATATAAAACAACCTTCCTTTCTCCATCTCTTTGTCTTGTTCCGTGTGTGTAGCTGGGTGTGGGCAGGCAGTTTAAATATGTCCGTATTGGGCGTTCACTGTGCCCAGCTGTGTGCCAGGCTGACTATGGAGGGCCGAGTACAGGAAGCACAGAGACAACTCAGAGCTCAACAGGACCTTCTCAAAGACATCAGGTACAGCCAACTTCTCCAGACGGCTCTCTGCTACATCATGTGTGTATGTATAAAATACGTCTCTCTCAATGTTTATCTTACAGTCAACAGAAGCCGAGTCCTAAAGAAGAGAGTATCTATGGGAACTGGATTAGTACCATGAGTATGATCTGTGAAGACCTCACCACTGTCAACAAGGTCTGAATACACCCTCAACCATATATTATTTCATTTTATTTTGGAATTTAATGAAGTCATTACTTCAGTCTTCAGTGTCAAAAACATTTCTTATTATTATCAGTGCTGAAAATAGCTGTGCTGCTTAATGTTTTTGTGGACTGTGATACATTTTTTCAGGATTCTTTGATGAATAAACAGCATTTATTTAGATTTTTGTGTAACTTTATACATGTCTTTACTATCACTTTTGATCAGTTTAATGCATCCTTGCTGAATAAAAGAATTTAAAAAATAATTATTTCTGACGTATCAGGCGACATGGAAGACTGGATTAATGGCTGCTGAAAATTGAGCTTTGCCATTAGAGAAACAAATTACATTTTAATAAAAAGCAGTTATTTTAAATTACAACAGCATTTCACAACATTACTGCAATTACTGTATTTTGATCAAATAAATGCAGTCTTCGTGAGCGTAAGAGACTCCAAAAATTCCAAACGGTATATAATCATTAATATTTAAGGCATTAAAACATTATAGAATATTTAACTAATCAGTATGTTGTGCTAGTCAAATATGAATACATATGAAACAAGTTTTATTTGATGAATAAGTTTTATAAATAACAAATTAAAACTATATCAAAAATAGACACTTTAGCAGAGCATTTATCAAGCATTGTCATTGTTTACTTAATTCAGCATACCACAGTCAAGATAGACACACTCTCACATGCTTGTAGACATGTGTCAGTGATTGTCTTTAACATTCAACATGTTTTGAAATCTGCTCAGCTCCAAAAGTGCACCAAACCATATTAGCATTATAGATGAATCATTGTGACTAAATAAGCATGACACACTTTAACTCTAAACAGAACACAACAGAAACTGACACCAAACAAGCATCCCGAACATCTTCCACTGCGGTGAGTTAAAGATCTCCCACACTTTATATAACAGAGAAAATCTGGGATTCAAAATGTAATTGAACACCCGGATGTACTTTTTAGGATTTTGAAAAAATGTTATGCATAAAATGAACAAATCATGCTTAGATATCATGGATCATCACATCACTTTTTTCTTCTCCAGAGTCTCTCAGATGCGGCAGCCAAGGTGGTCTACCAAATGAAGAGAGCGAAGAGCATGAGTGGAAAGGCACAGAGAGTTGCCATGATGGAGAACTGAGCTCAGATGCCATCAAGACTAGTGAGCAGTCGTTTTAAGTGTCATGTAGGCTGTTATATCAATCTCAAACTGTGGACAATGAATACTGCTTGGAATATATGCAATATAAAATATATGCAATCTATGAGTTGATAACCTAGTATCCAGCTGGTGAGCTGCTTTCAGAATCAGAAAGAGTTTTATCAGTCTCAAACTGTGGACAATGAATACTGCTTGGAATATATGCAATATAAAATATATGCAATCTATGAGTTGATAACCTAGTATCCAGCTGGTGAGCTGCTTTCAGAATCAGAAAGAGCTTTATTGCCAAGTGTGCTTACACACACAAGGAATTTGTCTTGGTAACAGAAGCTTCCAGTGCACAGACAAAAAAAGTGAGTAAAAATAAATGTGTAAAAGCAACACACAATAGGCAAAGAGACCGTAAACAGTATATTGTATGTACAGATGTGCTATATACAAATTATGCAAAGGAATGTGGATAGATGTATGGATAGAAGTATAGATAGTTGGGTCTTGCACAGTGGGGAGAACATTTAACTGTTCATGAGGTATATGAAACTTTTCCTATGTCTGGCTGTTTTGGTGCTCAGTGCTCTGTAGCGCTGGTTTGTGCATTATAGACATTTTTGCACGAGTAACATATTTGACATACATTTGCAATTGTGTAAATGGATGTCAAATTACCAGCTTGGATACTAGGGACTGTATTAGTAAATATAATGCAATCAAATAAAACATGTTTTATAGAAATCACAGACTGATTCTTTTTACTCTTTCTACTTACATCACCTTAAAACTGTCAGTCTTCCGATTATTTTATAATGTATGCCGATTTAAGGGATAAACACTGGTAAAAGTATGTCTACAAGTTGAGAGAAATGGTGAGAACTGGTTAGAACCAACTTTAGTGAGGTACGTGACAAAAATGCCCTGATCCATTGCACTCTTTGTGTTCTTTCTTATCTCTCTCTCTCTCTTTCCCTAATGTTAATGGCAGATGTAGAGTAGCGTTTGACTTTTCAAATACCATTCATGAAATGAAGCGATTCTATCTGTCTCTCTACAGATGGTATGTACCTTGTGTCACCATCTGGTTCTCCCTTACGAAAAACATCTATTTTTCTGCAGATTTAACACTAGGTCAGGTTTTTCCATTCTGAAGTTTTATTTTGCACGTGACCTCTGAATCACCCCACAAACTGACCTCAAAAGACCTTTAATTCAGTCGTATTCAGTCATGATCAGGCCCAGATCTCTTTAGAATTGCAGGTTTTGCAGCTCTGCCTCCTAGTGTTATTTATTTATTATTTATTCATTTATTTATAATTTTTGTTTTAATTTTTTTTATTATATTCCAGCTACCAATAAGCATGTTGTGCTGTCATCTCAGTTTAACATTTTTTTTTTTTTTTACAATATTCAAATCCATTTAACAGAATTCCACTTTTACTCCCAAAAAGAAAATGCAAAAAAATCATAAATAAAAATTAAAATTTTCTGACTTTTAGCAATGACTTTTATTCTACTAGTGTCATTTTATGTAGTTCATCATATAAACATTTAATTCATATTAGCAGATTAACTTTTTTTTCTTAATTTTGAGCAGTATTGAATCAAATGAAATCTTTGCAGATTGTGTCTGGCTTTGGTCATGATCATTGTCAGTATTAGTTACATCAAAATGTAAACTACTTATGTTTCTGCATGATTTATTTGACAAAACCTGACACTGAAGTGTGTCTGAAACAAGCATGTAATCTTGCTTGGAATCTCATCAGACAGGTTTGAACTCACTGTCTGGGAGAAAGAGAGGGGTGAGAGAGAAAGAGCTGAGGAAGTAGGGACAGATCAGTCAACCAAAAGCAAACCACATGTACGCTTTTCAGTCATACCTGTAAAACTGAACCGTCAGGATACAACACAAGCACATAATGAGAGACCACCTGATAAAGAAAAGGTAATTTTATTTTTAGACAATTTTACGACTGTTAATATAGATTTGAAGTCAAAAACTGTTATAAAAGATATAGTTCATACTTAATCATAGTTAAATAAGTATTTTTACAAAAATAATTGTTGACACTTAAGCCACACTTAAAAATGAATGAATGTCATTAATCAGACGTATTTATTTAAAAGAAGGATAACAAGCACCTCTCAAGCAAATCATTTTTTTTTTAAGTTGTAAAAAGGGACAAATCCTATTTTACCACTTGTCAAACTTGGTTCAGAGACACTGGTGAAGCACACTGTGAACCTGAGGGAACTGACTTCATACATCTGCTAAAAATCATGGGCCAGCTGGTTAAAAGTCACTGGAAAAAATAGCTTAAAAAAAAGGTTTGTTTGAGAAAATGGTTAATTTGTTAGTAGATGTTACTTGGTTTGGTATTTTGTTTTTATTCAATGACATTCTGGAGTTTTAAGTGCGCCACTGACATAATAGTACAACTGAATGGTTGCATTTGTGTGTGTTTGTTCATTTGTTTCCTCAGTTACAAATAAGTTTGGATTCCCAGAACCCACTAAGCTGCTCCACAGGACTTATGGTGCGTTCAAGTCATGTCGGATAGATCGTATTTATGAGATGAACGCCACCACAAAGTGGTTATTAGGAGTGGGAAACTCGAAATTTTCTTTAAACCACGAGTTTCCGAGTTGGGGGCGTGTCAGTGAGAAACATGGCGGAATCGATGGATGCAACGTGTGTAGTTGACGGTCAATTTAACTGCATGTCTGACAGACAGATTACCAAAGTAAAACATAAATCACAATACTTATAGGTATTAAGCAGTGACATTGTTGTAAGCTTTTTGAATGTGGCAGGATTGTAATATAACAATTAATGAGTTTTTATGCCATACAGATTAAAGTGGCTTCATAAATTACTTTTTAAAAATATTTAAAACATAAAACACACCTGATGCAAATTCTTTGCTCTTCATTTTCTATAAGCAGAGTTAACAGACCCTGTTGTATTTTCTTGTAATTTATTAAAAGAAGGTACACCGCCATCTTGTGCCGACTAAACTGGCTTGAACGCACCTGACGTCCTAATTACGATTTATCAACTCGTAAGTACGAACGTCCCATGAGGACTTCAACGCAGCATAAGATAATTGGCAGCTAAGGAAGGAGCATACCACTTAAGAAGACAGATCTAAAACGTGACAAGTGCTCTTACACAACATGTGCACACTGTAGCCAGTAGTGCCTCATTCCTGTGTGAAACTGCTGATTAGAGGTGAGAACACCATTTTCTTAATCTGTCAAATTTAGTGAGATTTACAAAACATTTGAAATCATCTCAATGAAACTAACCCCGATCCTGGACTATTACTACAAACATTCACTGATCCAGTAATTCTATGTCTGTGAATACTGACAACTGAACAATTGTACAACCGTATTTGACCTTACTGTGTTTGATTATGTTGCATATTGGTTCTAGTTTTAGTACTTGCTTCTATTCTCACAGCTTTCTTATTGACACAAGGTGCTGATGATATTCTACTTGTATGTTTGCTGTGTTGAGTCTAAAAATGAAATAAAATAAAACACATTTGTTTTTATTTCAGCCATTTGCGATTACAAAATTTCTCATTTTCATTTAGTAACCTGATGTATTAAAATAACCAAAACGAAAACGGACATCTTTACATTTCCTTTCATTTTTGCATTTTTCCCTCATTGTCATCTCTAATCTTGCCATTTTTCCTTGTCTCCTCTGTATTTTTTGCCGTCCCTCTGCACAGCCATGCCATTCTCGCGAAGCTTCCTGTCTGAAGAGCAGCTGCTGTGCTCCATCTGCTTAGATGTGTTTGACAATCCGGTGTCCACGCCATGCGGCCACAGCTTCTGTATGACCTGCATCGGCCACTACTGGGACTCAGTGAAGCACTGTCAGTGCCCCCTCTGCAAGCAGACCTTCAAGAGAAAGCCCGATCTCCACATTAATCGAACTCTCCGAGAGATCACTGAACAGTTCAAGCGCATGAAGGGAAACCCGGGGGCCTCTGGAGGGGACGGGGCAGATAAAGACGCTGAGGAAGGGGGAACAACACAAGAGCCAGTTGGTAGTACACTTAGGCCAGGCCAACTTCCAGGTTATCTTCTTGAGGAAATGATGCAGAGAGACACACGGCACAGGGCACACCGCAACTCTCTGGCCTCTCAGAATGAAACAATTGAACAAACACTAAACACTGATAGTACTAGTGACACCCAGCCACCTGGTTTTGCCAGACAGGTGTCCCTGCGAAGGTATACCTTGAGTGGGGCGGCAGATGCCATGAAAGTCCCCCTTTGTCCAAAACATCACCGAAACCTGGAGCTGTTCTGTCGATCTGATCTGGAATGTATTTGTGTTGAGTGTGGACAAACGGAACACCAGTCACATAACATCACATGTGCCGAGAAAGAGTGGCAGAGTCATAAGGTAGGATGAAATGAAGAATAAGTTACAACTGATAGAAAATCTCTAAAAGCCTTAACATCTAAACCAAAAAAGTGGCCCCAAAAACTATTATTACTTAAGTCACTTTAAAAATGTGAATTTCATTGTATTAGATTAAAATAAATCAAATATCAAAGTTGCATTTGCAAACAAATCAATTAGATTTTCTGAGTTTTAGCAATAACTTTTAACTACTGTCACTAAGTGTACTGTAGTTCATCAATAACCGGTTACCTGGAGAAAATAAAATTGAAATGAAAAAATAAAAAAATCTTGTTTGGAAAGTGTGCTTGTGCTATCAATCTTTAAAACAAAACAAAGTAAAAAATAAATGTTTGTGTTATAAATAAAACATTACAAATAAAAATACAACCAAAAAACAGCATAATAGTAGGGTAGGATGAAATGAGGAATAAGTAACAACTGGTACTAACAAAAAAAAATTTAATAAATCTGTAAATCCCTTACATCAATACCCCTCTATACAGTGGCCCCAAATAATATTATTACTTAAGTCACCTTACAAACATGTGAATTTCTTTGTATTAGATATCAATGAAATTAAGTATCAAAGTGCACAAACAAATGAACTACATTTTCTTGCGTTTTAGCAATGACTTTTTACCAATTGGTTCATTACATTAACTGGTTTTTGATCAGACGAATCTGTCCAAATACATTTTGTCTTAATTTTAAACGGTATAAATTATTTTTGAAAAGTGTGCTTATGCTATCAATCTTATAAAATAGAATATAAAATAAAGCAAAAGATAAAAATATACATAAATATAAAAATGTATTGTTTTTGTGCTTGTTTTGTAAACAAACATGAAAATGAAACGGTTGCATTTGCAAACAAATCAATTAGATTTTCTGAGTTTTAGCAATGACTTTACTACTGTCACTAAGTGTACTGTAGTTCATCAATAACCGGTTACCTGGATAAAATAAAATTGAAATGAGAAAATAAAAAAATCTTGTTTGGAAAGTGTGCTTGTGCTATCAATCTTTAAAACAAAACAATAAACAAAGTAAAAAATAAATGTTTGTGTTATAAATAAAACATTACAAATAAAAATACAACCAAAAAACAGCATAATAGTAGGGTAGGATGAAATGAGGAATAAGTAACAACTGGTACTAACAAAAAAATTAAAATCTGTAAATCCCTTACATCAATACCCCTCTATACAGTGGCCCCAAATAATATTATTACTTAAGTCACCTTACAAACATGTGAATTTCTTTGTATTAGATATCAATGAAATTAAGTATCAAAGTGCACAAACAAATGAACTACATTTTCTTGAGTTTTAGCAATGACTTTTTACCAATTGGTTCATTACATTAACTGGTTTTTGATAAGACGAATCTGTCCAAATACATTTTGTCTTAATTTTAAACGGTATAAATTATTTGTTTGAAAATTGTGCTTGTGCCATCAGTCTTTAAAATAAATGTAACAATTCTTGTTTGAAAGGTATGCTTGTGCTATCAATATTTAAAATAAAGATAATAAAAATTCCACTTGATTTGATTTTGTTAGCTAATCTAATGGTGTTCCAAACACTTTCAGAAAAAAACTGTGCAAAAATGTTACCTTCAGGGGTAGTGTTGCATTACCACCATGCATTGACTGGTAAAATCTGGGGCACTTCCTGCTGCATCATTTCCTGTTTTCTTTCACACAGATGAAGATTGCTATCACGGAGAACGAGATACAGGAGATGACCAAGCAGAGGATGGAGAAAGTGGAGGTGATCAAACAATCACTAGTTGATATCAAAGTGAGTAACACAGTAGCTTCACTTGTTTTCTTCATCCCACAACATCAAAAAATCCCCAAAGTCTTGGAGAAAAGTGAACAGCTACGGGTTTAATGTCAACTGATATTATAACAAGTACTGGACCTTGATGAAAACCTTGCTTAGACATCTTCCATCATCCTTGCTTCTGCTTCCCCCTGTGCTCCAGATGCTGTCAGAGCATGAGGTGCAGTGCAGCATGCAGCTGTTTGGAGCTTTGATAAGCTCCCTCGAGCGCAGTCAGGCAGGGCTGCTGGAAGTGACTGAGATAAACCGTCACTCAGCAGAGCACCAGGCTGAGCTCATGATCAGAGAGCTGGAGCAGGAGATCACAGAACTGAGGAGGAGAAGCACAGCGCTTGCTAAACTGGCCCAGACTGAAAATTACATCACCGGACTGAAGGTCTGTAATGTCAAGAAAACATACTCATACCTTTGGCATCAGATTACATCGGAGTAATAGACTCTCCAGTTCTTCCATCTTTTCAGTTTCTTCTCTTCTACTGTTACAAATTTGTATTTTTTTTTTAATATACATTTAAGAATATATAGATTTTAATATAGAATGTATAATATACCGAATCCTTTCTTTATCTATTTGCCAGTGGAGTTAAAAATGCTATTAGGTATTTTACAATGGGAGCAGTCAATGAACAACTGGCAAATTATGACTATAGAGCGAAAATAAGCATGACTTGACAAACAAGTTCAAAAATTGCTCCTGGTCTTCTCCAACAGGGCTACTCTGAGGTCAGCACTCCCAAGACAATGAAAGACTGGACGGGTATCTCGCTGACCTGTGACCTTGGAACTAAAACAATTTATACCTCTGTCTGTCAGCTACTGGAACAGTTTAAGGAGGAGCTTCAGAAAGTACCACCTGCCTTCTGTGAGTGACACTTGTCAAACACTACACTACAGTGCCATCAAGTGGCAGATGGAGAACTTACTTCATGCGCTTTGCCTCTTTCGGTTGACATAGTTTCGCATGTGAACTTTAAGTTTCAACATAGCAGAAATCACAGGTGTAACAAGCCAAGCAGGAACGCACATCTGACATAACAAAAAAGACCGAATGAGAGAGCATGTGTGTGTGATGACTACTACCATATTTCAATAGTAACCAACCAACATTCCTCACTAATACACTCTAGAATGTTGATCTGTGAGAAGAGTTTTTCCAAACTATCTTTTCAGACTGCAAATCAATTCTGGTCAACAGCTGTGACGCACACTAAAGTCATGTCACACAAATGCTGTGGCAGTAATGCATGCTGGTCACAACTCCACCTGGCTGTGGAAAAAAACTAAAACATAGCTTTAGTAAAAGTCACTGCCAGTCATTGTTATGGCTTAGAAGTGAATGAAGCAAAGCAGGCTCTGAGCAAGATGAGAAGAAGAGAAATGGGGGAAGGGATGGGGTGATTGTCAGAGACATGGTCGTAGGCCGTCTATCAGGTTGAGCTTGAATGTACTGACTCTTGCCCTCCTGCCAGCTCTACTTGCATGGCAGCCAACGTCTCCATCTTTGAGATCAATGTTTGTAACAGTAAAGTTTCGGTATAAGGTGCACGGGACATCCGTCTTGTGGCTGAACTGATTTATTACTGCTTATAGAATGCAAGCCCTGCAGATATGAGTCTTGTTCACTGGAAACGCTGAATGTATTTTCAACTATAGACCCCTAGAAGTTTGAAATTGTGATAATTTCTCAGATTAAGTTTTAGAGAGGGATGGATGGAGAGGCTGATTTGAAGAAGAGAAATGGGGGAAGGGATGGGGTGATTGTCAGAGACATGGTCGTAGGCCGTCTATCAGGTTGAGCTTGAATGTACTGACTCTTGCCCTCCTGCCAGCTCTACTTGCATGGCAGCCAACGTCTCCATCTTTGAGATCAATGTTTGTAACAGTAAAGTTTCGGTATAAGGTGCACGGGACATCCGTCTTGTGGCTGAACTGATTTATAACTGCTTATAGAATGCAAGCCCTGCAGATATGAGTCTTGTTCACTGGAAACGCTGAATGTATTTTCAACTATAGACCCCTAGAAGTTTGAAATTGTGATAATTTCTCAGATTAAGTTTTAGAGAGGGATGGATGGAGAGGCTGATTTAAAAAAAAAAAAACCTTAAGCCAAATGTTCTGCCGCAACCACTCCAACAGCCCAGACAGCATACCTGTCATTCTGCACACCTGCTCACTCCTTCTTTCACTCAAAGTCTTTCTCTTTCTCATTTGTGCTATCATCTCTTCATCTTTCCACCTGTTTGCTCTTTTTACCTCGACCAGTTTTCCATTTATATATTGTTCTCTTCTCCCATTATCTAGCTCATTTACATCTAACGCACATAACTGAGAAAAAATAAGCATGTTAGGAATTCATGCAAAATTTGGTTTTCATATCTTGGAGGCACTCTGCAGGCCGAAGAACAGCATGATCATTTTGGAAAGTATACAATATGTTTACTGCAACTTTAGCAGACATTTTGGCTTAAGCGAAACTACAAAACAGCAGATATGGTCTTCAGAAACTTGCATGCCAACATGAAACTGTTAGCACTGAGTATTTTCCTAATTGTTCAATTAGCATCATGAAGAACTGCTGTTTTGTGTACACTTGAGGTGTTTTTGTTAGCTCAACCGTCATTATCAGTTGCCTTTATAAATAAGGTGTGAAATGCTGGAGGGATTAGGTCTCAGAAGTTTCATTGTAACATTGTTAAAGTTTTATTTTCAGGGACTAAGAAAGAGTGTGCAGTTGCATTTGGCAGTTACAAGAAACCTATCATTATCACACCACTGGCTGATCCCGTGCTTAATGCTTAGTCTAATGAACAATAAGCAATATGAGTCTAAACACTAAACAACAAATAAATGACCTTCTGTCATTTGAGCTGTTTCGACCATATATAAATGCCCAATGCTCTTAAGGTGTTAGAGAAACCCCCAAGGAAGAAACTACAGTCTTTTGAGCTTTTTTACATGACATAATACACGCTAAAAAAAATGCTGGGTTGTTTCAACCCAGCTGTGAGTCAAATATGGACTAACCCAACTTTTGGGTTAAAAATTGAATGTAAAAATTTAACCCAATGGTTGGGTTAGTCCATATTTGACCCAAAGTTGGGTTGAAACAACCCAGCATTTTTTTAGAGTGTAGGCAACTTCAACTGTATAGCCTACAATCGGTGTGCATTTCGTTTTAGTTCGATCCTGCCTCGTAGACTACTACCTCTACATTCACTTCGGTGCCACCTTGAAGCGGAATTGTTCAGGGGAGGGGGTGCAGACAGAAAGAGAAAACCGGTTGGACAGGTAAGACGCAGAGGCCGGACTGGGTCGGGTCTGTTGTCACCGTTATATTCAGACGCATGCGCATTGTTACATGTTTCCTCATGAAATGTGTACCTGCGCTCTAATCAGCCGCTGAAATTCGTTTTGTAGTCCGTCGGTTGAGCATTTTGGACTATCTACCTGCCACAAACATCACCTCCCGCCTTGACAAAGTCACCTAGCTAGGACTGAGTGAATTTCCGAGCAAGACTTCGTGAGCTCGGTGTAGCGGAAGACGGCGGAAGGTGTAGCCTAAGCAGAAGCGGGCAGATGTAGTGGGAAACTCCACGGAAACCTGTACAGGTACACAACGTTTGGAGTGAAGAGGTGTGCGTATAGAGCGGAGAGCTCGGATAAGGCAATTGAAGACACCATCCAAGAAGGACTTTACGCTTAACTTGTATTGTGGAGCAGTTTTTCCAAAAGTAGGTCGGTGTCAAAAAGCCTGCCGTTTTAATTTTGAGAGATAGCGGGAAGGACCTCGGGAATAGACCATGCCACGAGCTTTTCTAGTGAAGAAAACGGCTAATTCACCCGGCAAGAGAAACTGGCGCAATCTACCGGATCATGAACGCGGTGACATTTATATTCCAGGTGAGAAGATACAATAGTAAACACTTTTAGCTCACAATCCGGATAACGGTACGGATGCATCGAATATGGCACATTCAGTAAAACAAGAGTTCATTCCCAGGAACAGGGTTAGGAACAGTCCTGCGTAATTTAATAGCTTATTTTGTTTTTGCAATTTTGTGAGTGTGTTTCGCGTAGCCTTTTTTATAGGCTACACTAAATTAAAAGGTGCATACAAAACTTAGGCCTACCTAAATTGGACCATTTCTTTGTGAGTGATTTAACTAAACATGATCTTATAAAAGGAGTTTGTGTTTAAGAGGGCCGTTATTGCGCTTTTGGTTGACCTTCAGACCCAACTGTCTTCCTTATAACGTGAAACTCATTGCAACACACGGTGCATGTAGTGGCCTATACACAAAACCCATATAGTCGTCTGAAATTCAAGCACTAGCCAGTGAAGTGTAGCCGATTTTTTTTTCTCGAGAGTAAGAGAAAATTTTCCCTTGAAAGTTGCATCTGGATTAGACAAAACACTGTAATAACTTTTTGATTGGGTGATATTTATTTATTCTTATTAAAAGAAAGTTACTGATAATTGCTACATTTGAACAGTTTTTGGAGGTAGGCTAAACATATTACTGCGGATCACCTAACGGAATAGACACAACCGTTCATTATGAGCCCCTTCTTCAATCTCTACAATTATCATCATATTACAGGCGTAATGAGATATTCTGAGATAGCCTCTCTCTCTCTCTCTCTCTCTCTATATATATATATATATCTCACAGATTAACAATTAACCCATTGTTGTGTGTAGCCTAGTAGAAATTTGACATTTTAAAAGAATGCGTTCAGATGTTTTTTGTATTCGTCAGCCTGCGTTTTTTTGTGAAAGTTTAATCCATTTGCATAACAGACCATTCATAAACTGAACCAATTTGAAACAGAGACATTTATAGCCTACCATTGATTCATGCAGGTATGTCAGAAGGTTGTTGTGCCTGTTCCGTTTGTTGCCATAACGTTTACTGACTTGTATAGGCTAAATAGCCTACTTTAAAGACGTATAGGCTACTAATCTGTGATTAATGGATTTATTCTGATATTTTCTCTACAGCAATCCTGACATGAAAAAAATCGAATTGATCTTTCTTTCTTTCTTTCTTTCTTTCTGATCAATGCAGCATCCGTTTTAACGCGTCGTGGTCCTTTAGTTTGTCGTCCGTGATATGGTTTTGGGTTAATGTTTACAGCGGTAAAGGAAATAACGGGCTTCGCCGCGCGGTCTCTCTTTTCCCGCTACACCTTTAGCAAACACACACACACACACACACACAGAGCGAGTACACCTTTCACCTCACTTTTCGATATCTGCTGAACAAACCCGGAGCACAGGCATTGTTATATATTTATCGACGTCGCCTATCCATTTTATGACCCTTGTTTTAACCCATTCATTAACTTTAGTTTCCTTCTTTTTAATTGTTTTATTCTACTTCGCCTACCATGTGACGCATAGAAATTGTCAGAGAAGGGTGAAATTGACTTTGAAACATAACAAGAAATGTATACATACAATAACTTGAAAAACGAAAATAATAGTAATCATTTGACAAATCTAGGCTACACTTGCTTGAATGACTGATAAACCAGTTTAGAATTTATTATAGTCGGTATAATAAGGTCAAATATGATACATTTTTTTGGTTTTCATATCTTTTCACCCCCCCAATAGTTATGACTAGGCCTAATGCATTTAATTAAAATGCCTTTTTACCTATCAAAAAATCCTAAAACATTTTCCAAAGTCGAATCTATTTGTGATATTTAAGATAAAATCTGTTTGGTTATGTTATATTTGTGGTGTGACTGTCTGTGAAGGGAGAGGTTGCCAAACACTAGGGCAAAGGCAAAAAGAAACAATCACTGCTATGTACTGTTTTTACTGGTAGATTGTGTTAAAAAATAAAATAATAAAAATAATATGTAGAATTTTTTATATATATATATATATATATATATATATAGCAGTCACATTTATAAATCATACAGACATTCAGGTCTCTTCAGCATCAAACTACTAATTACTAAACATGCTACTAAACATTTGGATTTCTTTATGACAGGAAACCAAGTAACTCTATTATATGGTTGTTATGAAATAGCCTATAGATTGTTGCATTTTACCATTAGCCACTGCACACATCATATATTTGCATTATAATTTTCAACCCAGTCGATTGTGCCACACCAGAATCAACAGATTCATCGTTCAGGCTACTAGTATTAGTGTTTTTGACCATCTGAAATCTATCTCCATGCAACCGATGTTTGTTTTTTTTCTCCCAGTGACCTAATAATCTCTTCAGTAGATGTGTAGGGTATGATCGAACAACCTCTTAGGAAAGAACATGATAGTTTACTGGCAAACATTTGCAGATTATCCATCTGATGTATTGTGTTGCGTGGAGGTTTGTATAAAGGGAGCTCGAGCCTGTGCCTCTAGCTCAGCTGGTCTGACTGGTAAAGCAGTAACAGGAGTGGTTTGACTTCAGCCCGGCACAATACACTCACACACTCATGCTCACCAGCCGACCCACCCACTCACACTCGCATTCTCACACACCTGGCCCAGAGGCACAACTGTCCCCCTTAGCCTCGAGAGCCACATACACACCCAGTTTCTGATTGTCTAGCAATCACATCCTTCATCTTCAGCTATGTAGGATGTAATCCACACTTGTTCACAAAGCCAAGATGTTATGCTGGAAAGATTTGTACATCTTGCGCTTGTCATCATTTGTCTTTAAACAATACTCGGGCCAAATAAGCAAAGCAAATATTGTGGTGACACAATGAATGATGCTTTCTGCTCTACCTCAGTTTGTACTTCTAAAATTTGACGCCAACGTGTCTTCTTTTTCCTTCAGTCTCCATGTCTCCCATTGCGCTTCGAGAGGAGACCGAAGCCAGTCCAGCAGAGGTGGCGCTGTGCCTGTCCACTCGCAAGGACCACAGCATGTACACGTACAACCAGATGTACACCAATGACCCCGGTGCAGTGGTTCCTGCCGCTGAGCTTCCATCATGCACTGCTCTGGGCCAGAGTACAGAGACTGAGCACATCCGAAGCACACACAACAATACATATGTGCGCACTAAAATAAAGGTGAGGCTTCTGGAAAATGTTTACTTTTTACTATGTTGATCTAAGGTCTAGTTACAGCGGCAATAAGCTCATATTCAGCTGCAGAGCCATGGTGCCACCGTTGAACATAATTGATTTGCGAATTGCTTGTGTGTGTGGGTTATACTCGTATCACTTTACTAGTTTGAGTGTTTACACTACCACTAATTTCTTTTTTATATTTCCCTCTTTGTTTGTTATCTCACTGCAGGTCACCACAGGTGAGCTTCCCAAAGAGGTTCCACCTATTGTTTCTAGTGTAACTACAAGTCCACCTGCTTCTATAGCGACATCTTGCTCCCCTCCTGCCGCTAAGTCGTCTTCAGTGCGGTTGAGTGGTGGTACTTATGTTTGCCAGGTGTGTCAAAAAGTTTTCCAGTTCCAGCGCATGCTAAACAGACACCTGAAATGTCACAGCGAGCAGAAGAGACACCTGTGCGACTTTTGCGGAAAGGGCTTTAACGACACCTTCGATCTCAAGAGGCACGTCCGCACACACACAGGTAAGAGCTTCATTTGTTCACGATGAAGCAGACGTAGCCACAAATAATTGGTCAAAAAAATTTAAAAATATATTTTTTATATACAGTGGGTACGGAAAGTATTCAGACCCCCTTAAATTTTTCACTCTTTGTTATATTGCAGTCATTTGCTAAAATCATTTAAGTTAATTTTTTTCCCTCATTAATGTACACACAGCACCCCATATTGACAGAAAAACACAGAATTGTTGACATTTTTGCAGATTTATTAACTTAAATGATTTTAGCAAATGGCTGCAATATAACAAAGAGTGAAAAATTTAAGGGGGTCTGAATACTTTCCGTACCCACTGTATATAGATAGTCTAAAAGTAAAAAATGCTTAGCATAATTCAGATTTTTAAAAGGTTTTAAAAAAAGAGAAACACAAAAAGACCAAAGCTGCATTTATTTGATCAAAATACAGTAAAAACAGTAATATTGTGAACTATTATTACCATTTAAAATAACTTTTCTATTTGAATATATATACAAATGCTATTTATTCCTATGGTGCAAAGCTGAATTTTCAGCAGCCATTACTCCAGTCTTCAGTGCCACATGATCCTTCAGAAATCATTCTAATGGGTGCTATTATAATTAAAAAACTATTAATAATAGACTATTATTATCATTATTGTAATTTTTTTGCTGCTTAACATTTATGTGGAAATCACGATACATATATTTTTAGGATTCTTTAATGGATAGAAATCTTTTGTAACTTTATAAATGTGTTTACGGTCACTTTTGATCAATTTAATGCGTCGTTGCTGAATAAAAGATTTTATTTTTAAGGGGGTCTGAATACTTTCCGTACCCACTGTATATAGATAGACTAAAAGTAAAAAATGCTTAGCATAATTCAGATTTTTAAAAGGTTTTAAAAAAAGAGAAACAAAAAAAGACCAAAGCTGCATTTATTTGATCAAAATACAGTAAAAACAGTAATATTGTGAACTATTATTACCATTTAAAATAACTTTTCTATTTGAATATATATACAAATGCTATTTATTCCTATGGTGCAAAGCTGAATTTTCAGCAGCCATTACTCCAGTCTTCAGTGCCACATGATCCTTCAGAAATCATTCTAATGGGTGCTATTATAATTAAAAAACTATTAATAATAGACTATTATTATCATTATTGTAATTTTTTTGCTGCTTAACATTTATGTGGAAATCACGATACATATATTTTTAGGATTCTTTAATGGATAGAAATCTTTTGTAACTTTATAAATGTGTTTACGGTCACTTTTGATCAATTTAATGCGTCGTTGCTGAATAAAAGATTTTATAAATTTTTTTTATTTTACTTCACTTAAAAAAATTAACACTTTCACTTTACTAACTTTTGAATGGTAGTGTATCACACGTTCAGCAAAAATGTAAGCGGGAAAACTGTTAATAATGAACAATTATTAACAATTAATAATAAACATTAATAATAATAAGAATTGTATTATTGCTAAAGATGTTGAAATCGTATTAATTAAAAAAAAGGTAATTTCCTTATCAATTTGAGCCATTACTCCAGTCTTCAGTGCCACATGATCCTTCAGAAATCATTCTAATGGGTGCTATTATAATTAAAAAACTATTAATAATAGTCTATTATTATCATTATTGTAATTTTTTTGCTGCTTAACATTTATGTGGAAATCACGATACATATATTTTTAGGATTCTTTAATGGATAGAAATCTTTTGTAACTTTATAAATGTGTTTACGGTCACTTTTGATCAATTTAATGCGTCGTTGCTGAATAAAAGATTTTATAAATTTTTTTTATTTTACTTCACTTAAAAAAATTAACACTTTCACTTTACTAACTTTTGAATGGTAGTGTATCACACGTTCAGCAAAAATGTAAGCGGGAAAACTGTTAATAATGAACAATTATTAACAATTAATAATAAACATTAATAATAATAAGAATTGTATTATTGCTAAAGATGTTGAAATCGTATTAATTAAAAAAAAAGGTAATTTCCTTATCAATTTGATTTTTTTATTATTATTAAAAGAAAAAAGTGCTGTTATACCAACATGAAAAATATCTTCAACTTTTGAAAAAAAAAAAAAAAGAATATTCTTATGTTGCACCTGTAGGTGTTCGTCCATACAAGTGTAATGTCTGCGAGAAGGCCTTCACTCAGCGCTGCTCTCTGGAGTCCCACATGAAGAAGATTCATGGTGTCATGCAGCAGTACGCTTACAAGGAGCGCCGCAACAAGCTGTACGTCTGTGAAGAGTGCGGCCATACAGCTTCTACCCAGGATGCATTGCTGCGCCACCTCCACACTGAACATCCAAACAGTGTCCTCCTGCGGGCCAAGGGGGCACGAAGACTGTCACCAATGGTGAACGCTACCATTGGTGACACCTCCCAACCTGGTTCCCCTCTCTCTCATAATAGCGATGATACTGTAGAATCAGGAGGGAGCTAGAGAGAGGGATGTTTCCTAAACAATAATTTATATATATATATATATAAAGGGATGTGATTAATGTGCATTCTGATGATTTCATGTTTCATTGTGTATACAGACAATAAGGGAAGAGGTCATTTAAAAAGGGAAAGTAAAGTCATGCAAAATGCTGTTTTAATGGCAGTACACTGAGAATCAGTTTACACTTTTGCTGCAGAATCGGGCTGTACTTTTCCCTGTGAAACACACAAAAGCAGACGATAACGTCTACAGCATAAGTATGCACTACTTCAGTTTACATAATAATATTATTATTAAAATAGATGAGATGAAACACAACTCAGGAGAAATACAGATGAACGTGACATTAAATCGTTCCATTTGTACTGTGTGGGACAATGATTTTATGTAGCAATGTTTCAACACTAAAATAATACTGTTGTGAACTCTGTGGCGACTGATAGTTACACATCAGCAGTCTCTGAATGTTTGAAAAAGGGATTTTGAAAGGAAATTAATTTTGTGTTGTTGATGTACTACTGTATGTAATATATGCCTGCATAAATTTATCATAAAAAGATTTATATTTATCCTGGTGTAGTTTTTATATTTTCTTGGGTATGTTTTTGCTAGATTTACTTTCACATGTAACAACTTTTAATACTTGTGTTTTTTGGGTTGCATTATTATTTTTTTGTACTTTTTTATATTCAAACGCATCATAAATGTAATATTTAATTTCTTGTCACTGTTAGATAAATTAAGTAGGCTCTGTGGCAATCTATAACAACACACCTCCACAATAAATGTGTTTTTGTTAATGGTTTAAAAAGAAGTGTGTTTCATTCTCTTGTATTATTTCAGGAATAAGCAACATACTATCAGAAACCCAACTACTTACTTAGAACTTAATTATTGATGTTTTAAAGTACTTTTTATGCATAATTGCATGCATGCAAACAGTTATTGATGGAGATTAGACCAATAAAGCATTTTAGAATCTAAATACTGAGCAAAGGGACTGAATACTTAGGACTATGTGATATTTCAGTTTTTCTTTTTTAATAAATCTGCAAAAATGTCAACAATTCTGTGTTTTTCTGTCAATATGGGGTGCTGTGTGTACATTAATGAGGAAAAAAAATTAACTTAAATGATTTTAGCAAATGGCTGCAATATAACAAAGAGTGAAAAATTTAAGGGGGTCTGAATACTTTCCGTACCCACTGTATATAGATAGACTAAAAGTAAAAAATGCTTAGCATAATTCAGATTTTTAAAAGGTTTTAAAAAAAGAGAAACAAAAAAAGACCAAAGCTGCATTTATTTGATCAAAATACAGTAAAAACAGTAATATTGTGAACTATTATTACCATTTAAAATAACTTTTCTATTTGAATATATATACAAATGCTATTTATTCCTATGGTGCAAAGCTGAATTTTCAGCAGCCATTACTCCAGTCTTCAGTGCCACATGATCCTTCAGAAATCATTCTAATGGGTGCTATTATAATTAAAAAACTATTAATAATAGACTATTATTATCATTATTGTAATTTTTTTGCTGCTTAACATTTATGTGGAAATCACGATACATATATTTTTAGGATTCTTTAATGGATAGAAATCTTTTGTAACTTTATAAATGTGTTTACGGTCACTTTTGATCAATTTAATGCGTCGTTGCTGAATAAAAGATTTTATTAATTTTTTTTATTTTACTTCACTTAAAAAAATTAACACTTTCACTTTACTAACTTTTGAATGGTAGTGTATCACACGTTCAGCAAAAATGTAAGCGGGAAAACTGTTAATAATGAACAATTATTAACAATTAATAATAAACATTAATAATAATAAGAATTGTATTATTGCTAAAGATGTTGAAATCGTATTAATTAAAAAAAAGGTAATTTCCTTATCAATTTGATTTTTTTATTATTATTAAAAGAAAAAAGTGCTGTTATACCAACATGAAAAATATCTTCAACTTTTGAAAAAAAAAAAAAAAGAATATTCTTATGTTGCACCTGTAGGTGTTCGTCCATACAAGTGTAATGTCTGCGAGAAGGCCTTCACTCAGCGCTGCTCTCTGGAGTCCCACATGAAGAAGATTCATGGTGTCACGCAGCAGTACGCTTACAAGGAGCGCCGCAACAAGCTGTACGTCTGTGAAGAGTGCGGCCATACAGCTTCTACCCAGGATGCATTGCTGCGCCACCTCCACACTGAACATCCAAACAGTGTCCTCCTGCGGGCCAAGGGGGCACGAAGACTGTCACCAATGGTGAACGCTACCATTGGTGACACCTCCCAACCTGGTTCCCCTCTCTCTCATAATAGCGATGATACTGTAGAATCAGGAGGGAGCTAGAGAGAGGGATGTTTCCTAAACAATAATTTATATATATATATATATAAAGGGATGTGATTAATGTGCATTCTGATGATTTCATGTTTCATTGTGTATACAGACAATAAGGGAAGAGGTCATTTAAAAAGGGAAAGTAAAGTCATGCAAAATGCTGTTTTAATGGCAGTACACTGAGAATCAGTTTACACTTTTGCTGCAGAATCGGGCTGTACTTTTCCCTGTGAAACACACAAAAGCAGACGATAACGTCTACAGCATAAGTATGCACTACTTCAGTTTACATAATAATATTATTATTAAAATAGATGAAACACAACTCAGGAGAAATACAGATGAACGTGACATTAAATAGTTCCATTTGTACTGTGTGGGACAATGATTTTATGTAGCAATGTTTCAACACTAAAATAATACTGTTGTGAACTCTGTGGCGACTGATAGTTACACATCAGCAGTCTCTGAATGTTTGAAAAAGGGATTTTGAAAGGAAATTAATTTTGTGTTGTTGATGTACTACTGTATGTAATATATGCCTGCATAAATTTATCATAAAAAGATTTATATTTATCCTGGTGTAGTTTTTATATTTTCTTGGGTATGTTTTTGCTAGATTTTATACATTTACTTTCACATGTAACAACTTTTAATACTTGTGTTTTTTGGGTTGCATTATTATTATTTTGTACTTTTTTATATTCAAACGCATCATAAATGTAATAACATTTAATTTCTTGTCACTGTTAGATAAATTAAGTAGGCTCTGTGGCAATCTATAACAACACACCTCCACAATAAATGTGTTTTTGTTAATGGTTTAAAAAGAAGTGTGTTTCATTCTCTTGTATTATTTCAGGAATAAGCAACATACTATCAGAAACCCAACTACTTACTTAGAACTTAATTATTGATGTTTTAAAGTACTTTTTATGCATAATTGCATGCATGCAAACAGTTATTGATGGAGATTAGACCAATAAAGCATTTTAGAATCTGCATGCAAGAGAGAATGGATAAGAGATAGCAGGAGAGAAAAAGATTCAGTGGGTGGATGTTGGTGGATTCCAGATCCTTGTTTGGTCTTGTTCGTGGAATTCAGTGGCTGTTTCATTGTGGTCCCATCAGGCATTAATGGCTCAAAGGTGCATTAAACCCGTTATTTTTAACAGCACCAACCAATTCAGTACCACCCTTTCAAACTATAATACTGTAAGAATTTCTCGTTTAAAACAAACATAAATTGAAGTGAGATGAAATTTACTTATCAATCGAGCCCAAGTTGAGCAAATTAACCACTATAGCTGTATATTACTGCAAAACATTACTCTAAACATCATCCAGACATTTTGTGTATGTTTAGTCCAAATAACTCTCATGCAATATGCCAGGTTTGCTGGACCAAATGCACCATCAAACCTGGGAGTGGCGCTACTTGTGTATCGTCGGTCGGAAATGACGTAACTACAATACTTTCGAAAACACAGGCGGGGAAGCGGTGGGCAGCTAAACTAAGGTAAATAAAGCAACCCAAACCCCCGCAGATAATTTAATAATAGTAATAATTTACATGCATTTTAAAAGACGATCACTCTAGGATTTTAGCACATCAGTTGCAAGCAAATGTGCAAACTAAACGTGCAAATAGGCTACTCATTTAGTTTTGAATGTAGCCTACATAACGTTACATACATACATTTATTGATATAGTACGTGTCCACTCTTGTATAATGAGATTACGTCAGTTGCATTACAAATATTTAAGCAACATGAATGTCTTTAACTTTGTAGGATGTAAATTGCATGTTCGATGCAAATATGCCGACGGATCGGGTGTGTTTGGGTCGGAAGCGCCCGGTACCTTCATGCCCGAACCCTCTATTCTTGCAGTGGTTAACCGAGTTGCGTGACAGCGCCAAAGAGAAAGGCCTGAAGACGCAGTACGTGTACCAGAAGGTGAGAGGCTGTGTTGGATTTAGCTTCGAAAGTTGGAACGTAAATACACCCATTAGCAACCGATTAAACTCAGCGACTGCAATGCTGTGCTTTTTCACAGGCCATAAACTCTTTGAAAAAATATCCTCTGCCGCTGAAAAACGGGAAAGAGGCGAAGATCCTGCAGAATTTCGGTGACGGGATCTGCAAGATTTTGGACGAGCGACTGCAGAAGCATTTTAAGGAAAACGGCGAGGGACCTCAGTTTAGTGCAGACGGTGATTTTCTCTCAAATGTTTAGAGTATCCACTCTAAACCTTTCATTATCTTGAACCGTTGTTTAACCCTTTAACTGTCACTCACATTTTTTAACACAGACGTGAATCCAAACTTGCATTTTTATAATTCATGAACGAAAACATTTTGTAACATGATATTGATGTACCGTTTTCATGGTAATGCAATGTTTGATTTTAAAGGGGTCATATGATGCGATTTCAATTTTTCCTCTCTCTTTGGAGTGTTACAAGCTCTTGGTGCGTAAAGAAGATCTGTAAAGTTGCAAAGACTAAAGTCTCAAATCCAAAGAGATATTCTTTATAAAAGTTCAGAGTCAGCCACACCTACCTAAAACGGCTCGTTCTAACACACCCCCACATATCTACCTCGTCATTATAATCCGTAATTATGTCCCCACTGGATGCAACAAATGCCTTGTTTATAATGAGTTTTATGTTTATGTCTCGTCGCTCCGACCGGGACACGGCATCAACAGTATGGTGAGGGGCGTAACATTTCCGTCACACACTTGAGGTATTCGGCCAATCACAACGCACTGGATTGCTGGCCAATCAGAGCACACCTCGCTTTTTCAGACTGATGAGCTTTGTAAAAATCGACGCGTTTCAGAAAGGCGGGGCATAGAGGAGAAACAATAATGTACAGTATGTGGAAAATAATGTGTTTTTTTAACCTTAAACCGCATAAACACATTTCATTACACCAAATACACAAAATAATGTTCTTTTTAGCAGCATCATATGACCCCTTTAAAATTGGTTTCAAGGGATGCATTTTGAGATTTAAAGCTTTCAATTGATATATCATTTCTGATTTCTAAAGTGTGATAGAGAAAAAAGACAAAGAAAACTTTTTTTGACAAAGGTCAGAACTCCTGTTATGATGTAGATTTTTGAGGTGCACTCTTGTCATAAATTAATCTATTACTTTTCCTACATAATTTTTAACTAAAACATTGGTTAGACCTTTCCAACAATATATAGTTGGTCATGATTAGATTAGGATTTAATTGTAATATAGTGAAGTAAATTTAGGCGTCCCACAGAGGGGACGGGGGACAGTTAAAGGGTTAATCTGTTGGTGTCATGTTTACAATCTTGTTTTATTCATGAAAGGTTCTGATGCTCCAATCCACTTGGCTACTTCTTGCCATAGGAGCAACATGGCTTCCTCCAAACAGATGGAAGAACCTCAAAAGGAACCTTCGGGAAACTTGAGTGAACATATGGTTGGTTTAAAAAAAAAGGAAATGAGTTGCAAGTACTTGTTCGGGTTAATATTAGAAAA